TAGAACGCGGAGCGGGACGGGACCCTGTAAGATCATCCAGTCCAGCCAGTCAAGGAGGTCCCGTGGGGGATCGAACTCCCAACCTCTGGCTCCAGAACCAGAGACCTCAACCACTGAGCTATCAAGGCAGAAAACGCTTTGCTGCTTACTTTACCTTTATCACACTTTTACTGCCTGGACTTTAGAGAGGTGGGCCTACAAGAGAAATCTGTATAGAGAAGAGAAATATATAAAGAGTAACATATTTCGACCCAAAGTTACTCTATTTTGCCACAAAATCAGACAGGCAGCATGTGGACTACAATACCTAAAATCCTGTACCAGATGGGGGCTTCTGGGAGTTAGAATATATATATATATACACACTATGTTGAAAGGATCATTACTGGCATTGAAAAGCCATTTGATAAAAAGAGGGTCCCCCCCCCCGGTTCAGGGTGAGATTCAGAGGAAGGAGGCAAAGCCATCTCTCTCCCTCCCTTCTCCAGCCTCCAAACCGAGAGCCACTTTTTATAAAACAGACGTGGAGCAATTCATTCTTGATTTAATACAAAGTGCAAAAATAAAAGCCAATGAGTGGATCAAAAAAGGCTGACTACATCGATGCACATTCTGTCATTAAATATAAATACATATATATATATGTATAAACAAACACATGCCGTTCTGTTTCTGTCATTAAATATAAATACATATATATGTATGTATAAACAAACGCATGCTGTTCTGTCCGAATAGCGATCATTATTTTCTGGTTTAAAATATGTTTCCTGAGTTTATGGCGCGGGGGGGGTCATTCTGTCGCGGCTCAGATTTGCTGAGAGTTCTGCTGCCACCTAGTGGTGGCAAGGATGTCCGCACAAGGGGGTCTGCTTAACGGGTACCAAACAGGCCCCAATTTCTCTCCTAAAAATGGCCGGTGCGACGGTTCTCCCCGTCTTCGATGGATCCAAAACACGAATCTGCAACACGTCGCTTTTTGTCTAATTCTTGGTTTTCAGCATTTTGAAAAAGGGAAACTTTGTTTTCTTTCTGTCGCTTTCCTGGCTGTCACGGGGCACATCTGTGGAGCGGGTGGAAGGGGGGAAAAGGAAAAATTGAACAAGTGAAACCCTTCATGATTTATCGCTATGAGTGAGGAGGCCTGTACATCTCATGCCAACTTGTGGAACGGGGTAACCCAGGAAAGGAAGCTTTCAGAAATTGTTTCTCCAGGAAAGCAAGTCTTCTACAACAGTGCTTGCCAACCTTGGGGCCCCAGATGTTCTTGCATAACAACTCCCAGAAATCTTGGCTATTATAGCTCCTGGTGAAGGCTTCTACGAGTTGTTAGCCAAGAAGATCTGGGGACCCAACGCTGGGAACCATTATTCTATTATATCAGCAGAAGGAAACATGTGGCATTTTGGATGTGACTGGGCTACACCTTTACCTTGGTCCTTTGGCCATGCAGTCAAGGCAGTGCTGGCTAAGGAGGATGGTTGTTGTGGTCCTGCACCTCTGGAGGGCATCAAATTGGGGAAGATGGCTGTAAATTAGGGGTAGGGGTGATCGGGCCCTCCAGATGTTGCTGAACGGCCAGTCCCATCCACCTCAGCTTGCACAAGCAATAGCAGAGGTGGATGTGAATGTCCCACATCTGGATGGCCCTATTTTCCCTGAGGACTAGGCACTTGATAAATCACAGCAAGGGCATACCAAGTTTCTGGATCATAGCAGCCAGCATCTCATCTTCTTCTTGTTCCCTAGAAGGCAAGAGAGAGAAAGAGCAGGGGTAGTACTGGAGTTCTTGCACCCGGAATCCATCCTGAACCAAGACTTGAGTTCATACCCGTCTGCTTGATCGGTTTCAAGCTTGGCATTCTTGAGTTCGCCAACTCCGTTGAGTTAGACCCTGGCCAGGATAGCCCTTGACTGTCTGCCACAGTCTTCTCCAGGGGACGTCTATAACTTGTGCAAATCTTAGAGCATGGATGCCCAACTTTGGGTCCCCAGATGTTCTTGGACTACAACTCCCAGAAATCCTGGCCAGCACAGTGAGTGGTGAAGGTTTCTGGGAGTTGTAGTCTAAGAGCATCTGGGGACCAATGGTTATGAATCAGTCTTAGAGCAAAGATGAAGAATCTTTGGCTCGCCAGATGTTTAGATGCAGAACACCCACATTTCTTCACTCGGGTTGGGGATTCTGGTTGCTGACATTCAGGGCAACCCAAAGACCAAAAATCCCTTCCCTGGACGGTCGTTGCTTCCTCTTTGAAAGAACTGAAAAGCAAATGTTCAGGAACAAAGAGGTAAGGAAGTTCTTCTTTTTATATCCAGCAGCATTTTAATTTGGCCATCAGGGAACGATTGGTCAGCTCTGTATAGAAAGATAGTCACCCAAACCACAGGGAAACAGGTCAGAGCGACAACACATTTCTGGGTTTCTTTCCTATCCATCTGGTCAGCAAAGGCCTTCAAAAACTAGAACATATTTTAGTTTATTTTACACTTGCCCCGCCACTCTCCCGGTAGAGAGACCCAAAGGCACCTTGCAAACAATTTAAAACCACAACAGTGAAAACAAATGTAATGAATCTGATAAATTATACAATGTACCATTTTAAAAAAAGCAATTAAACCACTTAATTAAGGTACTAAATAAAAGAACTAAGAGACCAAGAAGCTAAGCTGGTGTCAATTCACTCCCCTACACTTGCCAAGGAGCCAGACCATATGAACCCTACTGAATGAATCAAGATGAATCAAGAGACATCATGCCAGCTGTTGGCCTTCCTGGGGATGCCTAGCAGCCAGGCAGAGAAGCAACTATAGGGCCCTTGGAGGTGACGTTTTGTTTATCTAAAGGGAAACTATAGAAAGCAGGAACTAAGGGAAAGGTTGAGCAAGGGAAGAAGAGATACAGTGGTGCCTCGCATAACGAGCACACCGTTTAACAACGAATCCGCATACCGATCTGTTTTTTGCAATCGCTAATGCGATTGCATTGCGATGTTTAGATAGAGTAAAGATTGCATTGTGATGATCGGTAAGCATTTCGCTTACCGATCTTCGCATTGCGATGTTTTTAGAACAGCTGATTGGCGGTTCCAAAATGGCCACCGGGTACACAAAATGGCCACCGCAAGCATTTTTTTTCGCGTAGTTTCCTCACTTACCGAAGTGGCGAAAATGGCGGCGCTATGGAGGATCTTCGCTCAACGGTGAGTTTTCGCCCCATAGGAACGCATTAAACGGAGTTTAATGGAGTTTAAACGGAGTTTAATGCGTTCCTATGGGGTTCCCCCCCTGCATAGCGATGTTTCCGGTTAGCGACGATTAATCCGGAATGGATTAACATTGCTATGCGGGGCACCACTGTAGTTAAGTCTGTTCTGGAGGCATGGAAAGGTCCTGCCTCCCAATGGTGCTGAGTTCAATTCCTGTATTAGGTAGCCCTAAGAAAATGTTGTGCCTGAAACCTTGGAGAATCATGGCTGTTCCATCAGGGGGTACAAAATTACTTTTCGGACTTTCCAAAAATCCAGCAGTTGGATTTCAGGAGCTCAGTGCTTGGAAGAAATTGAAGAGAAACCAAGATTTTCCAGCTCTGGATAGATAGGTGTCACAGAGTTTTGAATTTCTGGCAAAACTCCCTTTGCTACACAGGAGAAATACAGAGATTCACAGAGGGTGGCTGTTCCATCAGGGGGTACAAAATTACTTTTCGGACTTTCCAAAAATCCAGCAGTTGGATTTCAGGAGCTCAGTGCTTGGAAGAAATTGAAGAGAAACCAAGATTTTCCAGCTCTGGATAGATAGGTGTCACAGAGTTTTGAATTTCTGGCAAAACTCCCTTTGCTACGCAGGAGAAATACAGAGATTCACAGAGGAGAATAGCTTCCAGTTTCCCAGGCAATCCATACCTTTCTTATTAACTGGTACTGAAGGTCTCAGTAACTCACTCTGAGACATTTGTAGGAGAAATAATAAACGTGTTTCATTACTTACAGTTGTAAACAGGTCAACAGCAAAACTAACAACACATTGACGTCCAAGAGACTAAAGAGGGGGAAAGGAAAAACTCAGCAAAGAGACAGGGCTCTCTCTGAATTCAGAGGCAGGAGGGAACGATTAGTCAGTTGTTGTGGATAGAAAGATAGTCACCCAAACTGCAGACAGCATGCGAGACTGTAAAAACTCCAACTATAGGTATGTGTGTTTTTTCTCCTTCTCTCCCTGTACTAGAACTCAGTGGTCAACTCAATAAAACAGATGAGCAGTAGATTCAACACCAAGCTTCCCACTTTTTAAGCTTGCAAAAGCCCACCCACCTGAGCCGGTCCTCATCCAGATCCTCCACGATTTTGTTCCGATCGTTGACGGTAGCCACATATAACTTTAGCAACTCTTCCTCCCGGGCTTTCTCTTTGGGGGTCTTCAGAAACTCTGTGTAAGAGAGGAGAAAGCAAACCATGCAAAATGCTGCCAGACTGAATTTGGCTTGAGAGGAGATCCCAAAACCGCAACGCTTTGCTCCAAGATCTCACACCGTCTGCCTTAAAACCAGAGCTGAGAAATAACGTGATCGATTCAGCGCATCAGCGCTAAAAAAAAGAGTCATTTTTGCACAAAGCAGACTAAATGCATCCAATATTTTAAAAACAGCATTCTGAAAATCATGCTAAAACTTTAAACAATACTTTCAAAATATTATTATTAGGAAGCCTCTGTTGTCTTCCAACGGTAAACATTTTCACAGTGATGTGATAGATGTAACAGTATTATTTTCAAACTCCATGTCATCTAGATACAGAGGAATATATCTATTGTAGACCTTGAAAGAAATATACCAAATTTCCACTTTTGGGCAAGCTTGATACTTGTTTCTTTGAGAGTCAGCTGTTGCTTTCTCTTCCTTTTAACCAAAATATGCTAGCTATAAGGAGTGGGGGGGGGCAATTCTCTCTACTCTGAAGATACATCCTAAAAAAAAATTGAAAAGGCAGAAAACCTACCACTTTTGCTCATGAGGCACCGGAGTTCACTCTCAATGTCACACTGCTTCTCTTCCAGCTTCTGCTGGTTCAGCCTGCCCGTTCCCGGGGGAAAGGAATAGCATAGTTTGGTGAGTGCAAATTCGCGCACAGAATTGCTCAAAAGGTGTCATTTCACAAGTGACCACCAGAGGGGGGATCTCTGCCGTCTTACTGCCCCAAAGGTTTTACACAAAGCTCCAGAATGTGTCAAAGCCGATTTCTTGACATGCGTTCTGAAATTAACTCAACCCAACTGTATAATTTCAACCATTCAACCAACTGCTTTTTAAGTGGTCATATACAACGATAACAACCCGAAGGCAACAAAGGTAAAGGTAAAGGTTCCCCTTGACAATTTTTTGTCCAGTCGTGTCCGACTCTAGGGGGCGGCGCTCATCCCGCTCTTCAAGCCATAGAGCCAGCGTTTTGTCCGAAGACAATCTTTCCGTGGTCACATGGCCAGTGTGATTTAGACACGGAACGCTGTTTACCTTCCCACCAAGATGGTCCCTATTTATCTACTCGCATTTGCATGCTTTCGAACTGCTAGGTTGGCGGGAGCTGGGACAGGCGACGGGCGCTCACTCCGTCGCGTGGATTCGATCTTACGACCGCTTGGTCTTCTGACCCTGCAGCACAGGCTTCTGCGGTTTAGCCCACAGCGCCACCACGTTAAACCGATGTTTAACAAATTGCTTCCAAGTTCTGACACAGTAAACCTGGGATATTTTGCGCTCACATTTCCAACATCAAGGGTTAAGAACCAACTGTATTCGGTATCTTTGTCCCTCTGGGCACTACACTCATGCCTTCCAACTTTACAACGTTAAAGTGGCTTCGCTCACTTGTGCATCAGCTCCGACTCCCGCCTCAGCAGCAGCTGCTTCTCGTGGATCAGCTTGAACCACTCCACCATCAGGGCATCCTCAGTGTCATCTGGAATACACGACCAAAGTAAATGTAAAGAGATGCATCTGAACCTTCTGTGCTATGTCAACATCGGGGAATACTGAAACAAAGGCTCAATATAAGAAACAACAATTTGAAAATAAACAGTTGGGAAAATAAACCAATTTTATGCTTTTAATTGTAATTTATTGTATTGCATTTGTTTTTACCGCACTTTGCAGTAATTTATTGTATTGCATTTGTTTTTACTGCACTTTGCAATATTTGATTTATCCCCCAATTGTATTATTACTGTGCTTTCTTCCTGAACAGGAGGCCAGATGGAGCTAGGCCTAGCTAAGCTGTTCTCCCAGGTGAGCCACATTTAGGAGTGTGTAAGTCAGGTAAGATCTCATAAAATGGAGGATTATGGGATTTGCAGTCAAGAAATCTGACAATCTGATCCCTAACAGCTATTCAGCCAGATCAAAACTCTGGACTAGAAGCATTTTTGGTTTAATCAGTAGTTTCTGACCTTGGATAACCCAGGTGTTCTTGGACTGCAATTCCCAAAAGCCTTTGCCACTAGCTGGGAGTTGCAGTCCAAGAACTCCCAGTTCATCCAAGACTGGGAACCACTGGTCTTCAATATTTATATTGTAATTCAATACAAGGCAGCCTCTTATGTTTCTTCTGAGGAGGAACTCACTGAAGCTCCGGCTTATCTGTTGTTTTTCATTGCCAAGTGTAACAAATATTTGCATTTGAAATTTAAGGGCCACTAATGGTGACTCTTGCAGATAAAAAAAGAGAGAGAGCTTTTGGTCTGCGTCTAAGGCGCAGAGAATTTTCGTTCAGAAGAAAGAGGGCCTTCAGCGTTAGAGGCCTGAAAAAGCCGCCTCCGCTTTCCAAAGAAAAGATTTTATGACACCACCCCAAACACTAAACAAAGAATCCGGACTTCCACTGTAAATAACCCAGGTTGTCTATTCTCCACGCGCCCCTGCGGAGAAGAACACGGGTCCGTCTCCTCACCTCCCTCGCAGGTCCGCAGGTCCTTCTCCATGTCCACCCCCTTGAGCTCCAGCTTGTCCAGGTCTTTCTCGATTTGCTGGACCTCCTTCTGGATTTCTTCCTCGGGAATGTAATCCGGGCGGTGCTGAGAGGAATAAAAGGGCAGAAAACGAAGGGTTATTCCTTACGATTGCTCCGACGTCTCATATCGATACTTCTATACTAGTGAAAGTCAAAAGTTCTACTACTACTACAACTACTACGACAACCACCACCACCACCTACGACTACTACTGCTAACTACTAACTACTAGTTAGTTAGAAGTACAAGTACTTCTTAAAGAAATATTTCATTACTATTAGTAGTATAAGAACCAGTGTGGAATCCTCCATAAAATAATAACAACGTTGGAATGGCAATGCTGGAAGGGACCCTTTGGATCATCAAGGACAGCCCGTCAAGGAGGCCCAGGGGGAATTCGAACTCCCAACCTGTAAACTAGCCAAGAAAACCCTCTCGTTTTATTCGTAGCCATACCTTTGATGGAGATAGCGTTTGGCTGCTGGGACGCTTCTGGAAGGTTCTAGGAGAGGATGGTTTAACTAGAAGGGAGGGGGAAAAAAAAGAAGACTCTTACATGAGCATTTTTTTTCACTTATGAATCTCTCTACGGTTTGAGATCTGAGCTGCTTCTGGGTGCCTCCCGGGAGAACAGGCAAGCTGCATGAGAGACGGGGGTCTCCTTGTGGCTGAGAAATCCCTTCGTTATAGAGAATTACAGGCCAAGCTCAGGAGAGAGGAGGGGGAAAGAATTCTTTTTTTGCAATAAATTTCCCAGCCATCCGGCATGCCCAGGCGCATCTCAAAGTCTTGGTTAAGGGCAAAGGCCTTCCCAGTTTGGAATATATATATATCTTTCTGGGATCTCAGTTCTCAGAATTTCCCCCACTCCGCAAAACCCTAAGAGCCGCTGAGCCGGAAGGGACCCTCTGGATCCCTGAGTCCAGCCCCCATCAGGGAGGAAACCGAATTCCCGACCTCTGGCTCCCCAGACAGAACACCTCCAGCGTTTGGATGCATGGGGCCGAATGACACCACCGCCTTTTCAAAACGAGCCCCGGACACGACTCGTTCCATGTTATTCCTCCTCATTCCATGACTCCTCCAACTCCTTCTCGGCACCTGCTTCTCCCACAAGGTTGGCATCATCATCAAAGGAGGCAGCTGCTTACCGGATGCGACAGCCTTCTCCTGCGGTCTCGTCGGCGCCTCCCGCTTCTGTGTCCCTGGAGGATCTTCCCACGTTTGGCGCGCCTTCTCCCACCCGCCAGAGGTCTCCACCTGCACCACCAAGAGTTTCCTCTTTCGTTGCTGATCCGAGGAAGGTGCTGGAAAGAAAACGCCAGAGTCTTCCGTGGATAGCTCGGCCTCCCACCCTGCACCTTCTCCCACCCCACCTCTCTGAGGGGCTGACCTAGACATCTGATCTGACATAGTACGCCCGGGGCTGCGAGACTTCTTGTCAAGAATACAACACAATACGATGAGGACCACAATGTGACCGGAGAGTGGCTTTGGTTGGCACTAGTTGCCAACCATGGTCTGACCCAACGAGAGGAGGAAGAGTCAGCAAGATAAGTCATATAACCTCCCTCTTGTCTTTTCGTGAATTTATGTGTAGATTGATTCTCTTGGGCACGCTTGACTCCTTTTCCTCTAAAGTCCCTCATTGCTTCTCTTTAGTTGGAGAGGGAGAAGGGGAGTCCATAAGGGGTGGGACGAACTAGCACATACTGAAGGTGACCCGCAGGGCTTCTACAGATAACCTTTTACAACATTTCCTGCTGCCCTATGGCTAAAAGGATTTCTTAAAGCAGGGCAGAGCAGTTTTGTAAGGGTCTGAGAATTACTTCTTCCTTTCCCAGAAGTCAGAGGCCTATAAACCCCCTTCCATCCTCCCAGCCATCCACCAGAAATAACATTTCTCCCCAAAATTAAAAATAGGTAACTTCAAAAACACTTTTAAAGGTGTAAAACAGCCCCTGGAGGAACAGAATTCGGGCTTTACACTAGCCCACTGCATTCTGCCAGTAAAAAGAATCCCAACAGGAATCTCAACTCCAGCGTCCTCCATTGGGACTAGACGTTTGCAAGACCTCTCCTTGATGCCTCTGCAGAGTCATCCATACCAGCGTCGTGACCTGCCGAGGAGGTAACTGAAGAAACCGGCTTTTTGTCGTCCCACGTCGGGTTCAGGGATACAGTGACAGGCCCCTTGTGAACGTCGGCAGGCTTCTGAAAGGTCTTGGCCTCATCTCGGTTGGAGACTCTGCAAAATGGTTTTGGCAATAGAGGCAGTTGACCAACATTCTCTGCTCAGAAAAGCTGGGCACGGTGCTCTGTATGGATTTAGGCACAGGTTTCCTCATTCGCACAATTTATCTGGCAGAACGCAGAAGTTCCCGTTCCCCCAATGCTTCAAATCCTAACCACGACCCCTTTCGGGCTGACGGAATCTCACTGCCTCCAGAATCCTGAGGCTCAACTCTTAAGGACTAGTAGCATCACTTTTCTTTTTGAAAAAGAAAAAAAAAGAACGAAATCAGATTTGCAGAGTTCTCCGCTATGTCCCAATTTCAAGGCATGCCACAAGGGTGGGGAACCTATCAACCCTCGAGATGGTGTTTGGGACTGCAGTTCCCATGGTGCCTGGCCATTATCCAGGATCAATGGGGATGATGGGGCAAGAGTCCTGTAGCATGTAGAGGGCCATGAGATACTGGACATTAAACCAGCATCCAGCCACACACACACACACACACACACACACACACACATGCCCACACACACACACACACGCCCACACACACGCCATTCTTTTAAAACTGGGGGCTTTTTTAAAAGCATGTGTTCCCATGCCGGATGACACGTGGAGGCTAGCCCTACCTTTTCTGGTTGGTTTTAAGAGAAAGCCAAGATCCACCAATTCAAACCAGGTGCCAGGAGGAAAATCACGCCTCCGGAAGGTGCGACTAATTCCCTACATCAGTGAATAGTCAGATGCCCTGCGAATACTCCTCTCTATAGAATTCGCTGTCCCAACAAATCTTTTGGGGGTTGTTGTTGTTGCCATTTTAAACACTTTCTACGCAGCAAGAAGCCTCTTCGGAGCCTCTGCCTGGCAACCTTCACTACAACTCCCATCATCCACAGTCAGCCTGGACAGGCTGAGGAAGACTGAGCTTGGATACAGATTCCCATCGGCAGCCGCGCAAAGAGTGTCCCGTCGTTGTACCACTGACTATAACATGAGCAGAGGTGGCTTGGATTCCATGCAGCAGGGGGCTCTCCAATATTTTGGGTTGGGTGTTCCCTGACCACGCCAACCATCAGCCACCCCTCCGAAATCGGTCCAAAGTTGTGTGGGTTTTCTTAAAAAAAACATTGGACTGAGAATGAGCCACCATTAACCACCATTAAGCCAGCTTCTAACCGCTATTGGCTATTCGCTCTCTCTCACTCTCTCTCTCAGTCTAAGCTACCTTTAAGGGCTGTCGTGACAAAAAGTAGGAGAGCCAAAGAGCTGCGTAGGCTGCTTTCACCTCACTGGAAGGAAGGAAGGCTTATCAGCGTAACAAGCAAAGGCATGAAATGACAGCTCCTCTCGAGTAGCACTCACTTGCTGGGCACAGGTTTCAACCTTGATCTCCAGTCCGCGGGGGACTCCGATTTCTCATCCGTAGCCCTCTTGCCTTCAGCTGCACAAGAAACACACCAATGAGCGTGCATGTTCAAAGCCGACGGGGAAGCTCTCGGCAGCTCGTGATGGCCCAGAACAAGATGACTTATGGGGAATTCTGGCAGTCCAACCACCCAACCAATGGACCAGCACATACATGAATGAATGAATGAATGAATGAATGAATGAATGAATGAATGAATGAATGAATGAATGAATGAATGAATGAATGAATGAATGAATGAATGAATGAATGAATGAATGGCAGTACCCATAAGCTGGCACCCAAACCAACTTGGGATCCACTGAAGCCAAAAAAAGGGTAAGAGATGGACACAGGGGAGTAACAAATAAGAAAAAAGAAAAAGAAAACAAATCCATTTGTCATGAAAAGCGCTATTTCAGAAGGTACAAGAACAGAACGCAACGCAATATACCAGCTGGAACACACCCATCATATCCAACTTTGGAAGCTAAGCAGTGTCAGAGCTGGTTCGCCTTTGGATGGGAGACCATCACAGAACAGCACGGATCTCCATGTAGGGCAAGGAAACAGCCCCACCTAAAACACTGCTCAGAGTTGACCATACTAGGCTACATGGATGTAATTCAGGATAAAGCGTCTTCCTTTATCCTGGATGAACAGCTCCCCTGGGGTTCCAGTTTCCATTGACTCCCTTATAATTATCTAAGGATCAACTCCTTCTGACCCTAGTCAGCCGGGCAGCAGCTCCTGCTTACCTTTAGTGATCTTCTCATCCAGTTTATGTCCGGAGTGGGCAGGCTGGCCGATCGGTTGATCCTTGAACCTACTTGGGGCAGCTGTCCAGATGTTTCCTTTCTGATTTAGGTCTTTGTTGGCAGCTGCTGGTGTTCCTGGGGACCCCCTGTTTGTTTTTTCCACAGTGGTGGGTGCACTGACCGGCTTCGAGATCACGTTGGGTGGAATGTTCTTGGTCTCGAGATGCCGGAAGCCAGATGATGGGGTGTGGGACAGCTTGCTGGCACACGGAATTTAAAAGAAAAAGAGATGAGCTTCTCAGCCAAAGGATCTCTCAGCGTTTGGGGACTTTTCGAACCTCTACCACCCACAGAAGCATCTTGGAAACAAAAGGTGCTTGCATTTTGTTAAGACTGGGGTTAGCAATGGGAAGAACCCAAACGCCACTGTTTTCTCACATGGTTGATTGGCCAAACCCATCTCTTTGAAGAAGGAAACTGGAATTCATCAAGTCCTTTCCTTATTCTGGGGCCTTTTTTAGGGACATGGAGCAACTTTACTATTTAAAAACCAAAACAACAGATAAGAAAGGGAGGCCGCAAGAAAGAAGATCCCAAAACGGGGGCAAATTAACTTTTTTTTACAACTACAGCAAAGTATATATCAATTTCCTTGGCACGTGGTTGCAAACCAAAACACAATAATTTTCCAATGGCTGAATTCTGGACAGATAGGACAGAAGATTTTTTTTCGGGGGGGGGCACAGAATATAAAGGTGTATTTAAGCTTGGAGATGGAGACCTGATTAACTGAAGTAAGACTGCAAAGTTACTTACACGTTAGAAGCTGAGGAACTGGCGCTGGAGTTTCCAGTCCTGTTGGTGGAAACTTGTGATCCTGGTAAAGCCTGCATAAGGATGTTCCGTGCTCTGTTCTTCTCGCTGCTTCCTACGCTGGTCTCCAGAGCCTGTGACCCAGGAACAGGGGATCCCCCAGCTACCTGAGACGAACTGAAAGGAGCACCTTGATTTTTAATGCCTCCTGCTTTGTCAGCAGGAGAGCCTGAATTCCTTAAACCAGACTGGAAAAATTTCGTGCGAGCCTCTTGAGTTTTTGCTGATGATGCTGTCCAATGGGAAGGAGTAGAGGAGGAGGAAGAGACCGCAGGGGTTTCACAGTGATCTGGATTAGTCCTCAGGGGATCTAATTTATGTGAACTAGGATTCGCAGTAACAGGGCTAGATTTAATCATCCCAAAGTTCACAGGATCACCAGCTGTAGATTTTTCAACCACACTGCGTTTAGGCACCTGGATGGTTTTGATGGCTTCTTCAGCTGGCTTCTTTGATTCGAGAGCCTTCAGATAACTTCCTGAAGCAGATGTTGTGTCAGTTGGTTTATTCTCTCCAAGGGTATCCCTTGTACGAACAAGCAACGAATTCTGGAGATGCGACGGTTGTTCGTGCTGGTTACAGATAAAGACGCCTGGCTCATTCCCAGCTTTGTAGTTCCCAGACTGGAGGGTCCCAGAGCATTGTTTGCATCTATGGGCAAGGTTGCAGGCAAAGAATGATCAACTGACACAAAACCCAGTGCTTCCCCAAAGCCTACGACGTTGTTCTGAAAAATGAAAAGGCCAGGTGGCTAGCGCTTATGAAGTCTGTGCAATCTGCAGATTATTGGTTCGACTGACACAATTGGGACCCACAAAAAAAGAGAGGATTAGAGTAGGAATCCCATTTTGCAAAGGATCAGTTCTAAGCCCCCCCCCCCGATTCTGAAAGACATGGATGTTTTTCATCCATTAAAATTGCTATTTTAATAGTGAACACTATACTGTACATAGCATGGCCTCTAGCTTCGACTTACGGACCGCTCTCATAGGAATATATGGACTCGACTTACGAATTTAGATTCGAGTTACAAACTCTTTTTTCCCTTTTTTTTAAAGCTAAGTCATCTTAGGTTAAAAGGAAAAAAGAAAAAAAATATCCCCCTCTAGTGGCAGAAGGCGGAATAGCAGCTTCCCATTAGTTTCTATGGACGAAAAGAGCAGATACGGATTAAATGGTTTTCAATGCATTCCTATGGGAAATGCAGATTCGACTTAAGAACTTTTTGACCTGAGAACTGCCTTCCAATACGGATTAAGTTCGTAAGTCGAAACCCCACTGTACCATTGGATGGTCTCTGGCTCCCTCTAGTGGTCACTTCTGGTAACTTCATCTTTATAAGTATGTATTTCTAAGATTTTTCCTTTTAATATTTTTAATATTTCCAGACCATGGATAGATGAGCCAGTGGATACCGATTCCATGGATAAAGGGTCCTACAGTATAGAAAGCTACTTTACAAGGAGTCAGATCCTTAGTCCACCTTGGCTAGAACTGCAACTTTGAGTGGAAGCCCCAGCTATCCCTCTGAGCAACCATACCTGAAGCAGTTCCTGTGGTAAAGCTTGCCATCCACTAGGAGGCGCTGCACCAAGTGGACGTGAGTTCCACAGATGGTGCAGTTGCTGTGCCGCGTGTTGGTGCTTTCGGTCAAAGCGTGTCGTTTCTGGGGGGGGGGAACCAACAACACAAGACAACTGAATATAATGGAAGCCCCAGCTATCCCTCTGAGCAACCATACCTGAAGCAGTTCCTGTGGTAAAGCTTGCCATCCACTAGGAGGCGCTGCACCAAGTGGACGTGAGTTCCACAGATGGTGCAGTTGCTGTGCCGCGTGTTGGTGCTTTCGGTCAAAGCGTGTCGTTTCTGGGGGGGGGGAACCAACAACACAAGACAACTGAATATAAAAAAAAGAGCCCCCCGGGATCAAGCAGAACATCTTATCGCTGTGCCGCGTGTTGGTGCTTTCGGTCAAAGCGTGTCGTTTCTGTGGGGGGGGGAACCAACAACACAACTGAATATAAAAAAGAGCCCCCCGGGATCAAGCAGAAGGGTACATCTTATCCAGAGGTTTGGGGATGTTCTAGGTTGGAGTAGCAGCAATAAAACCTCTTTAAAATATATTATGCCAATATTACTCGGGGAGTTTAAAACCTTTTTCTGATTTGCTTTTCCCACACCAAGACTAATTTTACCAGTTCTTTCCTCCTCCCCATCCTCGTATCTGTATTTTTCCCCTCTCTCTCTCAAGACATGGGAACCTGCATCTTGAAAATAAGATGCAGAAGGAACGTCTACCTTGTTTTAAAGCAAAACTGCTCTCCTGGAAGTCCAAACATGGGGGGGGGGGAAGGGAGCTCTATACTTCCCTTTGAAAATAAGATGGAGAAGGAATGTCTACCTTGTTTTAAAACAAAACTGCTCTCCTGGAAAACCAAACCTGTTTCACAAGATGTTCAGTTTCACTTTAAAAGAATTCAGGCCTCATGACCAATGATAGGGGATTCTGGGACTTGTAGTCCTTCCTTTTAATCCTGCACACACCCAGAGTTACTCCAAAGTCCATCTATCCAGCCAGAGCCTTGCTTCCGATGGAAGTTACCACTCCTGTCCTGTTTGTTGCAGCTTCTGGCCTTCAGAGGTATACTGCTCTGGAAGATGGAAGCTCCATTCTCACCTAGCACCATGTATATAATTTCAACTTCCATGTCTGGAAAAAAATCCACCAATCCATACCGCTGCGACTGGAGTGTTTTCCTTCCCCTGCACAGCTGAATTGGTCTTGGGTCCAGGCGGCACATATACCGGGGATGGCTTTGGAGGGGGTGGAGTGGCTGGCTCAGTAACGGCCTTCTTCCCTGTTGGCTCCTCGCTGGGTTTGGAAGGCGGCCGCTTCACCCCCGCCATTCCTCCAACTGTTGAAGAAGGAAGAGGTCAAAGATGATAGGAAGCAACCCAGAAAAGGGAGGAAAATCAGTTGAAGATGATAGAAGCATCCTCGTAAAAAGGTGTTTGCACATACGTGTAGTATATATGTGTAGTCCTCACGACATTTACATTTACAGTTACATTTATATACCGCTTTTCCTGCCAACGTGCTCTAAGTGGCATACAAGTTTTTTCCCATCTCTACGTTATCTTCTCAACAGCCCTATGAGGTAGGTCTGAGAAAGCATGGCTGGATCCAGGACCAATGAGGCGTTGCGTGGCTTATTGCTGAGGGCTGCAACAATCCCCGGCGATCCCAACACTCTGAGTGAAGTGATCAATGTGGAAACGCAGGTGCCCATCAAGACGAAGGGCTTGTCTGGGCTCTACTGGGTGAGGAGTGAGCTCTCAGGCAAGAGCTTTATAGCAGTGGTCCCCAACCTTGAGCCTCCAGATGTTCTTGGACTTCAACTCCCAGAAATCCTGGCCAGCAGAGGTGGTGGTGGTGAAGGCTTCTGGGAGTTGTAGTCTAAGAACATCTGGAGGCCAGCAGAGGTGGTGAAGGCTTCTGGCAGTTGTAGTTCAAGAATATCTGGAGGCCCAAGGTTGGGGACCACTGCTTTATAGGGTCCGGTGGACAGGGATTGGCCCTTTGGGGGGATCAGCTGACAGACCGTTCATGAAGGCTGGCCAATCGCGCGGCCCTGCGGTACGTTGGGACTGTCAAACCAGAAGACGGTGGAGCGGAGGGATTTCCGCTCATTCTCCCGGCTCTTTCGCTCCTAATCAGATCCATGATCTCTCTCACACACAAAGAGCTATGGAAGTCCAAACTATGTTTAATTATGTTTATTACATTTCTAAACTATTGTTATTGCCAGGAACTCTACAGTGCCATATGATGCTCTCCCCTCTCCCCTGCTCCATTTAACGATCAACCACAACTCTCTCTGAGTTTGGCCAGGCCAGTAAGCCTCCAGGCTGCACGGGAAGCTTCGGTTTTCTGCATCGGCGCGTCACACGCTAACCACTGCACTGCACCGCCTTTTTAAAAGCCACGGGCATAAGATGCCTGTAAATCCCCGGTCGTCATGGTTCACTAGCCCTCACCAAAACACCGCACTTGGGGGGGCCCCCACCGCCAAAATCCTAACAACACAAAGGTCAGCCAGGATACGAACAACGCGACCTTTGTAAAAATGTCGAGCATTTCCTCTTGCAAGCCAGCCGAGAGATCGCCGCCGGAGAGGAGTTCAGAGGGCACATTTTTGCAGGCTGTGTGGTTCTGGAAACAACACATGCCCTGCGCCACAGCTCCTGTGACAACCCAAACCGTTGTGGTCACTGCGGGATTTTTATAGCTGTCGTTTTCTAAGACAATGGGGGGAGACTGGTTTCCCTGGGAAAGAGAGACCCAGTGGGCACGGATCCCACTTCTTGGGAGGAAAAGCTGGGCCGTTTATATTCCTTTTCAGTGCCTGAAGATCACTTTCAAAAAGTGGGACAAAGAAGGGGGAGAGAAAAAGACAGGGCAGAGGAAAAAAGATTTCTCGAGACTCGGTTTTCTTCGGAGAAGTTTTGTAATGGGGAGACCAGGGGAGGGGGGGTGTATAATCAAAGTTCCCAGCAGCGGCAGAGAGGCTTGGAAAACAACCCAGATTTTGGTGGGAGCACCAAATATTTATCTTGCTAAAATGAGCAGATCTTTGTTCCGTAGGCTGCAACAGCCCTGCCATGCTAATGGGATCAGATCAGGTGTAGCACTCGAGAATGTAAACTTCACCATTGGCCATCTTCCTGGTTTTGGAGGAAAGCCCCAAATCCATGACAAGTAATGAGCAAGAAAAAGTTTCAGAGGACAAGCCTGGAGAACTTTGGCCGTGCAGAAGTTTGAACCTAGAAGTTCTATCCATCTGGCCCCATCGGGGCGATGGCAATAGGCTGTGGCAGTTGACATTCGCTGCCATTCGGTATACACTAGGGCCTCTGTATCAGCGGAGGATTGGTTCCAAGCCCCCCCCAGCGGATGCTGAAAAATGTGGATTATAGTGAACACTATTTCAAAGAAAAATGTGGATTATAGTGAACACTATTTCAATAGAGAACACAATACATAAGCATGGTCTCTGGCTCCCTCTAATGTCCAGTTCTGATAATTTCATATTTAGAAATATACATGTCTAGGATGCTTCTTTTAATATTTCGAATATTTTCAGACCGTGGATAACTGAATCAGCGGATACTGATATAGTGGCTAAGGGGGTCCTACTGGACCTTTACCCACGAAGGCTAAATTCGAACCAAGAGAGGACATGGCCTTCTCTGGCTTGCCTAAACTTTCTGCAGAATCTTAGTGAACCCAGAGCTCAGTGCAAGAAAAGAAGGGGGTCTGGAGAGAAAGGGGGGAAAAAGTGTACTTACTTGGTGATCTTCCATGGAAATAGTTATAATATTGGGACACATAAGTGAGGATGCTGAGTCTGTCTGGAACCTTCAGAGCCACCATATCTTCAGCATCCAATAAGGCTGGGATCCCCAGCTCTTCCTCTGCAACTCGGAAAGCCTGTTGGATGAGAGCGGAAGAGAAGAGGCCATCCTGTTCTTATCCAAGCTGAGCCAACTTCAGAAAGGTATGTTTGGAAATACATCTCCCAGAATCCCCCCCCAGCTATCCCAACGTTCCCACTGAGCCTGGAAAAGTTACTTGTCAGTAATGTAGCCCCCGTAAGAAATAGCACGGCCTTGGGCTCTGAAGTCAATGAGATATAGCTGGGATGTCATGCCAAGCCACCATTTCCAAAGATAAACCATGGTTTGTTACAAGGTCTGCCTTGGTACCTCACTTTAGACCAGGAATTCTGGCTTAGCAAGATGAAAGGTAAACGAAGAGCCCCCCTGTGTGAGCAGTTGTTGCTCTTTTTTGTGAAAGCAGGGAAACTAAGTTGAAAGACAATGCTTTTCACAGGATATCCCAAACCAACATGATGGTGGAATGAGCTCGGATAAGCCTGGATTTCTAAGTCCTTCCCTCCCTAGAACTGTTTGTGGAAAACGAAGCAGAGCCGGTCTTGCTTCTGGGTAAACATGCATTGGACTGCTTCAAGCATGTTTTTTTATATAAACAAATGCAGAGTTATAAATTGTTCATTTAATGTTGCCAAAAATTAATAATAATTCAAGGGCTCATAAGACACTATGTGCATGTATGCTGTTTTTCCACCACAATTTCAACCAACTGTTTTCTAAAGACCCAAAGTTCTCCCCTGCCCAGTTTGGCTTCAAGATTCCTAAAAAAATGTGTGTCTCTATCCCCAGATGCCAGCCTTATTGCACAGAAAATGTCAAATTCTAGGGACTTTTCCAAAGTCTTCTTACCATGTTAAGCCCCACCATCTTGAATCTATTATATTTTTTACAGAGGCAAGGAGAGGGATCTTGAAATATGCGTCAGCTTCTTGGCCGTGTCCCCCCACTCTGTCCTCGCCACTTTACATTTGGCTCAAGAGGGATTTTTCTGTTTTATTGTTTTGCTTTTCTTTAGAGAACCTATTTTGGTCTCTTCACATTCTAAAGACCACATCAAGTCTTGCTATTCCCCCAACCCTCCAAAAACAGAGATTTAACGAAGGCTTTGAGCAGTGGGATGGCCACCGCGCTTAAAGACAACTGATCAGTGTGAAGAAGACAGATCCATTTCTGGCATCTCTCTTCTCAAAAAATATCTAGAGATGGGCACGAACCGGTTCGTCCCAGTTCGTAAAGGTGGCAGCACAGCTATCTGCCCCGCCCCTCTTGGCTGATCTCCCAATCAGGCCAGAGGGCGGGGCAGAGAATTTTGTGCTCTTGCTCATGACTGGGAGATCAGCCAAGGAGGTGGGAAAAAGCAAGCAAGCTGGGCCTGGTCAGTGGCTGATTGGCTGCGGAGCTGGGCCTGGTCAGTGGCTGATTGGCTGCAGAGGAGAGAGAGGGGAGCAGCAGCACCTTTACGAACGGTGACGAACCAGGATGAATCGGTTCGTGCCCATCTCTAGGGCTGCGGAGGAGAGGGGAGCAGCAGCACCTTTACGAACAGTGACGAACCGGGATGAATCGGTTTGTGCCCATCTCTAATCGGGTCTTATAGGGGAATCGGTCTTAAAAGTGGGTTCAGGTGGGTTATGGAATGGTGATGCAAAGGAAAGAAAAACAGGCGGCCCTAAACTTCCATCATAAAAAGATGGTCACAGTGCAGTAGAGACAGCGAGAGGGGAGCAGCAGCACCTTTACGAACAGTGACGAACCGGGATGAATCGGTTTGTGCCCATCTCTAATCGGGTCTTATAGGGGAATCGGTCTTAAAAGTGGGTTCAGGTGGGTTATGGAATGGTGATGCAAAGGAAAGAAAAACAGGCGGCCCTAAACTTCCATCATAAAAAGATGGTCACAGTGCAGTAGAGACAGCTGCTGTGTGTGTGTAATTGAAATGAGACGTCCCTATCATTGGGCAGAAAGATATGGGGAAGTAGAGGATTTTGTGGTTCAAACTGAAGTGCCCTCCATAATGATTTTTTTAAAAAAAAATCTTCCTGTAATGCTAGACTTCCCAAAAGCTATATCATGAAAACTGATGAGCTGCAGATTCAAGAAAAAAAGAAACCAATAATAATAATAATCCCCACCATCCGGGTCTTATAGGGGAATCGGTCTTAAAAGTAGGTTCAGGTGGGTTATGGGATGGTGATGCAAAGGAATGGAAAAAAGGCGGCCCTAAGCTTCCATCATAAAAAGATGATCACAGTGCAGTAGAGACAGCTCCTGTTAAGGAGGCACCATTGAGGGAAATCTGCAACCCTGGGGGGTCTCCCTCACCCCAGAGAAAAGAGCTCTGGAAAAGTTCCTCTTTTTTGCACTACAGCTTCTAGAAGCATCAGCGGCTGTGTTGCAGTCTCAAAAAAAAAAAAAAGGTTTTCTAAGTTCTGGCTGGTTTTGCTAGCCCTTGTGAAAACATCCAGTTCTGGATCTAACCTCCAAGCTTTAGACTGATTCAAGAAAAAAAGAAACCAATAATAATAATAATCCCCACCATCCCCACCTTTGAACTGCAGACCTGGAAGGGACCGATTACGGCGTCCCAGCTCCTGTTAAGGAGGCGCCATTGAGGGGAATCTGCAACCCTGGGGGGTCTCCCTCACCCCAGAGAAAAGAGCTCTGGAAAAGTTCCTCTTTTTTGCACTACAGCTTCTAGAAGCATCAGCGGCTGTGTTGCAGTCTCAAAAAAAAAAAAAGGTTTTCTAAGCTCTGGCTGGTTTTGCTAGCCTTTGTGAAAACGTCTAGTTCTGGATCTAACCTTCAAGCTTTGGACGAAGCTACTGTAAAATGAAAATGGTCCAAGGAAAAACTCTAAGGGGGACAGAAGCTCAAATCTGGAGCCCATCTCTCTCCTTTTTTTTTGCAAAAGGCAGCTTGTACATTCCGTTCGGCTAAGATGCATCCCATGCTCAGATTTCTGGAGGCAGCTGAGAGAGCTGATGGGTGGGTGGTCTAAACAGCTTCCCGTTTGGAAAACATCTGCATCTCGCCTGCTCTTCCCCACCCCCACAAAGCATCCAAAGAGCCAGACGTTCAATATGCAGTCAATCAAAGAGGAGAAAATACATCCAGTTCCAGCTTCCATCCTCAAGGCCAGTTTTAGGATGCAAAGCTCAGCACAGGGGGCTTGAATGTCATCGGGCTGGACTGCAGAGACTTGGGTTCAAATGATCCCCTCTGTATCTCAGCCGCAAAGTTCACAAATTGTTTTCTCTCAGGAACATCAGACCATACTGGTGGGCTGATTCCAGAAAGTATATTCCAGTAAGAAGTCCAATTTTCCTAAGCTCTGTGTGCTTAATCTACCTCATAGGGGTGTTCCGAAGATAAGATGCAACGTCTCTAATGCTCCAAGACCTTTGGGAGGAAAGCTGGGATAGTTAAGCATAAGAAATGGTCACCAAGGAATCTCACAACTTGTGTGAAAGATCTCCCTTTCCATCAATTCAGTATATATTTATTTGTCCGTAGTTCATCACTTTCCTACTCCTACATGCTACCATAAGCCATCACAAAGTTGCAAAACTGCCCCACGAATCCGAACATGCAGTGTCGGTGACGGCATGGCTGCTGGTCAATAGGCGCTGCCCGATTTTCTGCATGGTCAGTTTAAAAGGAAGCCAAGAGACCTTTTTGCTTCCTTTTAAACTGACCATGCAGAAAATCTTGCAGAACCAGTTTTTCTTTTTTCTTTTCCCTTCACACCTCAGCCTAAGAGAGAAGAGGGAAATGTACAGAACAGGGAGAGGACACGCCAGTACTGGCTAAATACTCAATATGTCCAGCGAAAAACAGAGAGAGAGTTGAGTCAAGCCTTAATTTTTATCTGATAACAAGTCAACTGGAGTACTCAGTTCCATTTGGGGCAGATTAGCAGCCTCTGTTTGCAAAGTGACAAAACGCAAACAGATTCGAACACTGCAAACAGATGCACTCCACGGCAGGCACCATTTGGAAAAAGGGTTAAGCGCATGTTGACTTTATGGCTGCTTGCTGTTTATATTTATGGCCTGTTCATTCTGATCTAATCTATCCAGGGCTAAGGCGTGTTCTGTGGAACGGCTGGGCTGGGCGACCCCCGGGGCCAAACTGCGCCCGACCGCGTCACAGCAGGAAGTGAAAGGCTTAAATCTTACCAGCTCGTTGTTTTCATAGACGTTTTCTTTGCAAAGTGAACTGAAGTCTCTGAAGCAGAAGAAAACAGATGGAAGAGAGTTTTATTTTGGTATACCAAGCAATTTCATCCACACACTACATTTCCTTACCTGCACTTCCCACTTACTCCTCCTTAGAAAACTGTAGGAAATAAAGCCTCCCCTGAATAATTTTTAACACTGCAGTGGGGTTTTTCAACAGCTTTTAAATGATATTAATCTAGTGCTATTTCAAGGCAACCTTCCATGTGTCATTGATTGTGTTGTTCATCTTTTAAAGCAATTCTTTCCAACCCTCCAAGGGACGTGCAGGAATAGATGCATCTCTCTCTCCACATGCCCACCTGTGATCTTTAAAATTCCTACAAGGCCATACAGGTCTCCAGAGTAACACCTTGTGATCACGTTGAATCCTTAAAGGTATTCGGGTTGGGGTGGGGAATGCCTTGCCCAGGATCAATGTGTGAAGGATCCAGAAACCGTACATTCGAACATGCATGGTGAGGTTTCTAGAAAGCCTCATCTCCTGGCGTGTTTCCAGAAAGCAGCAATAAACTATTCTTGAATCACCTAAAGGGCCCGTTCCCCGTTATGATTCTGCATTATCCCGTTATTCTGGTCCTCAGTTGCCTGCATCTGGATCACCCATCATTTAGCCTTCAGAGCGGCCATTCTCAACGGGCCCCATATGGCCCTGTCCAGGGGGGATGGGGGGATGGCCCCATTTGAAGGGGGGGCCACAGACTAGAAACAATTCTTCACATTCCACCTTATAAGGTTCGTTCTGCAGCCTATACAATCCTGATTCCACCTATACTTATTTCATATTGCATTGATGGCCATGTTTTTTTTTCCCCTTAAGGTTGAGAAATGGCTGGTTTAGAGCATTTTAGAGGCACGGGATATATGACAAGGCTGATTTTATAGTTACGTTTTGGGTCACAAAAATCTTACGATTCTTTGCCCCAAATCAGCCTAAGTAGGGAGGTCGAAGGAGCTCAGCAAGCCACAAATTCAAGATTTCCTCCGGAGGGAGCCAGGACACGTAAAGCAGCACACTTTAACATGGTTTCAAAGGGCTAAACTTTGCAGATGAGACAACCCTCTTAGCTCAAGGGGTCAGCCGAGATAAGTGGAGGGTGGGGGCAGCAGGAAGGCTGTCAACATCAGCCCCTTCTCAAAGGTACCCCGGTGGGCCAGTCACGTAAGTATCCGGTATCCGAAAATACACAACGGAGGATCCACCGTGTTGCAGGAGACAGACTCCCAAACTGGAAAGAACTGGATGAGAGGAGCTTATGGGTATTTTCTCCCCAACGCAGACGTTTTAGGACAGCTTGACTCATGGTGACTCAGGATCATGAAAGAGCTAGCAAGCAGCCGCTGAGCGAGCGCATGGGTTCTCCTCAGCCGGCCGTCTCTGTTGGGCAACCGAGAGGCGCCAAGCCAAGGAACTGAGGAGTAACCTGGCCTTTGTTCGCAGACCTTGCCCCCAAATCAGACTTGAAAGAGTACGGATCGGCGCCAAAGGGAAAGATCATCCTGCTAGAATTCTTAAGAAACTCCTCGCCTGCTTTCTCTTTCATTTTCCTATTTTCCTCACCCTTGATCCTGCATTTCACAGCAATGACAGGCAAAAAGGTGGCAACCCATCCTCAAACAGTGCCCGGTGCAGCAGATCACCTATCGTCTGGTTGCTTATTTAGAAATCGGAGAAACGGTCAGTGGTCAGGAAAAGTTTCGTCCCCCTCCCTACTTCCTGGAAACACCCAAATAAAAGTTGCCAACGTTTTCTCTAGCCTCTGCACACAAGTCTTGAGCAGCACCTTGCCCTGCATCCCTTTAGCACATCTGCCTGCCACAGACTTCCAGCCATTTCCACCACAGACTTCCAGCCATTTCCACCTTCAGGTGAAAAGCTGTCCCTAATATTAAAATTAGCCAAAATGTGCTAGTCCTGTTGGCAAAACAAGTCTGAACATCAGTCAGAGGAGGAAGGGGGGGAGAATAATTCTATCTTTGCCAGCAACTGTTTGCTTTAGAATCCATGTTCGCAGTGTCAGCTCCATCCATTGTTGGCTAGAAAATAAATGTTATTTCAACACAAACACATACACACCAGATTGGAACCAAGATTTGGGGCATTTCCAGGAAGGATCCACAGCAGGAGCTCAAGAACAGACACAATGGGAAAAGAATCTACCGTCACTGTTGCCATGTCATTGTGACAAGTGTGTACGGTTCTATTGGCAAAACATTTTGAGACTCACTTTTGAACTCGCAACGCCACCGTACGCAAGGCGTTTTTGTATTTGAAAACCATGCAACGTACGATACAATTTATAACATTGCGCAGTTTCCAGAGACAACAGGAAATAATACTGGGAGAAAGGGAGGGGAAATAACAAAAGTATTTCAATCGGCTTAATTAAGACTAATTTGGCGTTTGGGACCCAGTGCTTCATTCACCCACAGAATGGAAGTTTTTTAAACAGTATGACCCAATCAGCCCAATGATGACGACGATCGGCCGCTGAGTCAATTCTGACTTCTGGCTACCTTTTTCAGAGTTTTCCAGATATAAAATACTCAGGAGCGGTTTCCCCCTTCCTTTATTCCGGGGGGGGGGCATCCCTGGGATGGTGCAGTCTGGCCCAAGGCCACCCAGGCTGGCTTTACTCCCGGGAGGCCCAGTGGGGGGATCGAACTCCCAATGTCTGGTTCTGCAGACAGAGACCTAACCCATTGAGCCGCCCAGTCCAACTGAAGCCCCAGAAAGGGGTCAATAAATACGCAATGAACTCATTCAGGGCCTCCTCTCTGCCCACCAGATTGCATCCGCATGACGTTATACCAGCGGCTACAGCAAAGCCGCACAAAGAATAACGGCCGAGGTGATGTGCAAGTGAGGAAGCTCACATGACATAATGTCCCCTTGTCACTTCCTTCCGTGTGACCGACTTCCAATGAAGAAACCAGCAGGGGAGTGGGAAGAGGGAGAGAAAAAAACAGCTGAGTGGCCTAGAGTAAGCAAACAATACTGNTTTTCTCCAGGTTGACCCCCCCCCCCCCAATCTTGCCATGCCTCGGCATTGAGGCTGAGTTCTTACAAAGGCAGCAAATTGATCTTGGAACTGCAGGCGGTGGTGCTACCGCGTCTCTCCCTGGATCCACTTTTATACCGAGCCAGACACCACAGCTAGAAAACTGTATGTGGGTGTTCAAGATTAAGGCTTCTTCCTGGCACCCTAATCTTCTATGAGCAGGGATCGGTTTATCTTTTTTGACAGGGGAATATTTCATTACATCAGCCCTCACCTTTTGCAGGGTGAGCCGGTACAGTCCCAAAGCAAGTAGACCGCTTGTAAATTCATCGCCAATCCTTTGCTGAATTAAAACTGATTTATATTGAATGGACATGCTGAAAAACCAGGGGACTGTAGCAGTTAAAGGGCCGAATTAAGGCCCGTGAAACCTGAAATCAAATCCCAAGTCAGCCATGGATGATTGTTGACTGGCCTGGGGCTAGCCACACCAGTCCTCAGCCTGACCTACATGGCAGGGTTGTTTGTAAGATGTGGCGCGCAGGGAAGGAGGTGAAGCAAGGTGTCGCCTGCACAGTTCAATTGTAATCCACCCGGAAAGTGTTTTAAGTGCTATGGGGCAGTTATATAAGCAGCACGTTTTATACATGGGTGTTACTTCTCGTGCAGAAGCAACTCTGGACCGCTGGCTGTCATGGGTCGCCGAGTTTGGGATTGAGCTGCTGTTTCCCACCACGGCTAACACTGCTGAAGCAGGTCAGCAAACCTTGGGCCTTCCGAGGTAGACTGCCTCGGAACATGGAGTCTCAGCTTAGCTAGCCCAAAACCCCAGCCACGGACAGACCTACGGCTGATGATAAATGGAACAACAGCCTCCTTCACGAAGTGGGGGCTGCTGCTTGGTTGGAGATTGACGAAACAGACCTCAGACGGACATCTGTCTCGGAGGCCTGAGCTGTGGGGTCCCTGACACTGTCAAGAAGGCGTGCTTTGAGTTTTCCTCCCAAACTCTGGAATTCTACTCTCCTCTTTGTAGAGAGAGTAAGACCATTCCGGAGAGCTTTCCAGGATGCTTCCAGTCATCTGGCTGACAGCCCTGTCATGGTGAGAGTTCTCCCCTGCCCAAGGGCAAGAGACAACCCCCACCTGCCCAAAGGTCCCCCCCCAGGGCCCACCACCTCCTTCTCTTCCCTCCCCCCCCAAAGGCCTTCCTCCGGGGTCGCACTCACATGAGGTCCGGCCGGTGGCGGTGCAGGATGGCGCAGAAGGCTAAGCCGTCCCGGAAAGAGGTGGTCATGTTGGTGATGCTCACGTCCTTGTAGCCTTGACACTGCTGCTTGCACCACTGCTGGAGGGCTTGGATGGCTGCCATCTCGGAGAGGGGGCCGGGAAGAGGACCCCCTGAGCCCCTGTGGCCTAGATATGGTGGGGGGGGGGGGCGTGTTAGGAGAGAGAGAGAGAGACCAGCATGAAAAGAGGTTGGGGTTTGGAAGAAGGCGGCGGCATACAGAGTGATGACGGGAAGGGGGTAAGTCGTGCCTCTGGGCAGCAGAGGGAGCCTCAGCTGGCCCCGAAGTTCTCCCGAAGTTCGCCTCCTCCGCCACCACCTTCATCCCGCCCCCTCGTGGTGGTTTGTTTGGTTA